GCTACTGATCTAGACGTATTTGGATGTGCGCTGGATTTCATACATCCAACCATGCAAACTTATCTAGATGACCCCATTTGGGAGACTTTGCAGAATAACAAGCAGTATACCATAGTGTTTCGGAATTGTTTCGAAGCTTTTCATACAAAAGAGGCCTTCGATGGGTGCCCATGTCGGGACATCCCCAAAGCTGTCAAAGTCCCAGCCAGCCAATCGGGGATTATTCCATCCAGCGCTTTCATAGCAGTGCCAAAACTGCGACATGTTAGCGTTGAGGCAGGCATACGCGCTGTTGGAGCTCAAGCCTGGCAAAGCTGTCGTCATCTCCGGATTGTCAAGATGCCGAGTACTGTTGTGCGTATCTAAGAGAACACCTTTCGAGGGTGCCACTTGCTTAATAGTATAACAGTGCCAGGCTGCACTGAGTTTGGCTACAAAGCCTTTGCCGACTGCTGCTCCTTACAGTGGATCCATGCTATGGAGGTGGAGTAAATCATATGGGAAGTGCAACTAAGCTAGGGCGCTATCTTTTCGTAGACTGCGTCAACTTGTCTACCTTCACCATCCAGGAAGACGGCCACAACCCGGACTTGCCGAATCAAGAGCAGCATAGGGAACTACCGACAGGATGTTTCTGCTCCGCAGGGTTAAAAGAACTCGAATTGCCTCGTGACTTCCATGAGCTAGGAGCCCATGCCTGTGACAATTGTCAATTGCTCACTCAGGTAGACATTTCGAACACCAGCGTTGCTGAAATTCGAGAGTTCACCTTTGCGCATTGTGTCAGGCTTAGAGATGTACGCCTGCCATACAGGGTACACACAATCCACGCGAAAGCTTTGATGAACTGTGCGGCATTGCAAGGGCTTGCCATCCCACCCTCACTGCAATATATTTCCAGCAGGGCGTTCCTCGACTGCAGCGTATTTAGAAGGCTCACGAAGCTACCAGGCCAAAGAACCACATGGCGTGGGACGTATGCTGAAGAGAATGCCTTCGCGCTCTGCCCTGCTATGCGGTGGCCGCAGTGGCTGCGCATGATTCCAGACATGGGCTATGCGCCGGAGTTGGCTTAGGCCCACTGATCCATGTTGAGAAGTCATTATAGATGAATTCGATCGTTGGATACATATCAGAGTGACTTATACATGTTTACCAATCGAACTCCATTGACCAATCGGAATAGCCCTTGGGGACGACACACATTCGAGGGATGCCCCATTGCTCATCCCCATGCCCACCATATAGCACATGGGCAAATTCAGCTAGGAGCAATTACCTCGACGGCTGTTACCAGCCTCCATGAAGCGATAACGCCCAACCGGAGCTGCCAAAACTTCTTGCCAACAGTGTCCCTCTTGTTCGACGCAAGTGAGCTGACCCGGTTGCGAGCTTCAGCTCCTGGCCGGTGTTTGGCGCGCGTCGGTAGAGCAGTAGACGATTGGCACCCAGGTGAGAACCTTAGTTCCTCGCCTGGCGTGAGTCTGTACTCTGCCAATCTTGTACAAAGTGGACACAAAGTACCATGCTAGGTTTTTCAATGTTTCACCAAGTTTCACAAGGGCCATGCATGCAAGTGGATAGTGACCCATGAATGATAGTGCTATCCATCCTATTTTGCGCACTCGCACACCTTCCACGCTCCTCTGGCCAAGGTTGTTAAGGAGCCTGCTGGATGGGTGTGCGTCCCCTCCCTCAGCTGCTGCGGTAGGTCTGCAGGGTGCAGCCTGCAGCATTCGCGTGCAATGTCCACGGCAATTGCCCACTGCCGGCCGCAGTCGCCTCAGTTTGTGCAACTGTGTGTAATAGTTGTGCCCTGATGCAGGCTGTTTTCCAAGGCCTGAACAGCATTGCAATCGACAAAGATCAGGACGGCTGCAGCCAGTAAGCGCCAGCAAACGCTGTCAACCATTCGAAATTGGCTAGAGTGCTTACCGCCCAACCTGGCAGGGGCAGAATTGTCCCCTGACCACTCCTGAAGGCCACTGGGACGTGGCCTTCATGGTTTGCAGTATGCCAATACCCCATCGCGTTGGACGTAAGAACAGCAGATGACTGGCAGATTTCGAGATTTCAAGGCCCGATTAGTCAGACGGACATTCTTTCAAGTTTCACTTGTTTCACTTTTGAGTACAGCGCGAAACTCTGCTAGTTTGGTTTGGGGGTTGTTCGTTTTGGTTCTGTTTTGGGGGTTTGTTTTGGTTGCTTTTGTTGTGCTTTGGGCTGTTTCCCTCACAAACATGCAGAGTTTCCATCCTTATCTTGATGACCTGTGCACACCGCACACATGGCGTCCGAACTCGTGCAAAAAAAAATTGGATTTGCGCCCAGCTTGGCAAAAGAGGGAGACTGTGCGAGAGTCATTAGAGTCTCTTGTAGTTTTCCAGGGTTGTATCCTTTTGTGGCTTCAGCAGTGATTTCTTGTTTTGTTGAAGATTGAGATTGTGACAGTTTTCATCTTGTGTGAGTCAAGAGATGTGTACTTTTAGAGGGATCTTTGAGATTCTGTTCATTTCCTTTTGTCTTGCAAGGAGACCAGTGGATAAGGCGAGAGACTGGGAATCTGCGAGAGCAAGGGTTGTAACTAAAGATTTGTGCGAAGAGTACCTGTACTTGAGAGTTGATGCTGTCTACAAGGGTTTATCTAAGATCTGGATTGCAGTCGCCTGTAACCAACAGGGTTTATCTAAGAGGAGTGGAGTGTGAACAGTAAAAGGGTTGGTAATTAGAGGGTTGGCTAGATTTCTTTTCTGTTCCCCTTGCTGTCGAGTCGAGCTCTTGCGCACTTTTGTCCTGATAGGAACCTTCACGTGACTCGTATGTCGTTTCGACCTGTCAGGTACCATCTTGAAAGCGTTGAGCCTTCAAGATCCCAAGGATGAGGAAAGCAAGTGATAGGAATCATCACTGTGAGATTCCAGAAGACTTGCTCTCCGAGGGACCTTTGGCTGTTGAGCTTGTTGTCTTGCGTGTTTGACCTTGGTTGATTGAGTTTTGGGACTTGCTTGTAGCTTGTCGTCTGGGAGTTGTTGACGTTTGATCGACCTAAAGACCATCTTGGAGGACAGGAGTTGAGATCTTAGTTGATGCTTGAACCTTAGTTGCTCAGAGAAAACGAATAGAAGAAAAGAAGAAGACAGGAGGAACCAGAAGAAGGTACGAGGTGGCCCAAGAAGGGGTGTGAAAAGTGTGGGTAGCACCCCTGTACAGTGTGTGGATCACCTAGTACCTGTCTGTAGTGAAAGTTTTCGTTTTTCTGTCCTTGGGGTTGGAGCTGAGTAGGGATCTTCCTTTTTGGAGTGTGTTCTCTTTGACCTCCTTAGCAGGACAAGGTGGAATGTGACCAAGAGTGGCTAGGAACACCTTTAGAGAAGCCCTGGCTAGAGCTGTGTAGAGTTGCGTATAGTATGGAATAGCTTGAGAGCGTTTGGAGTTGCTTTTTTGTTCTTTTAACATGGTTTGGACGACTGCGACCAGTCAGACCTCTTCAGAAGAAGAGTTGAAAAATTTCGATACAATCAAACCGACTGTGATGTTTGGCTCAAGAGCGGATCTAAAAAGGGGACGCTTGCGCTTCCGTGTTGTCACACTCCTTCATCCACCGTGAGAGCCAAAGTCCATGTCTCGCATGTCGCGCAAGCGTCGCCACTTCTACACAGACGCAAGGTCGTGTGTTGTTTGATGATGGCTTCATGATTGGTAAGTGTGCAATGATCGAAGTTGCTGCCGAGCATTGGAAAAACTCTCTAAGCCAAACACGCAACGCAACTACCAATTATTGAACTTGAATTGTTTGTTGTTTTTGTGGCTCTCCAGTGTTGGAGAGATGAGACCATGAACAACCCGCTCGTTCTCTTCACAGACAATGAGGGGGCTTTTGGAAGCCTGATTGCAAGCAAACGTTCACATAAAGTTGGTGAGTTAATCGTTAATCTTGCTTCTTTTAACTTGAAAATGTTCTTCGCGTTCGAACATGGCTTGAAAGAGTAACCACAGCTTCAAACTTGGCTGACTTGCCATCCAGGGGTGAGTATAGACACACCCCCTGCTGGGATCCAGAAGCCTCGTGACCTTTGTGAAGAATGCGCCGACGTTATATTAGGGTTCAACTAGTGACGAGGGGTGTATTCGTTGAACCTACAAGACGTTGGTGCTTTTGGGTGTGTCAAGCTGTGAGCTTGGCATTTTGTTCGTGTCGCAAAGCCCATCCAAACGATGGCATATGTCAAGCTATGAGCTGGGCACCCTGTTCAAATTCAAGTCGTGAAGCCCATCTAAACGATGGCACGAATTCACCGCGTTGTTCACTCAAGGTGAAAAAGAATGAGCTGAACTTACTCTATTTGACTTGTCTTGGCACTCTGTAACCTTCTGGTGAATTAAGACACGTATCCAACTGGAGGTGGAGAGGTCTTAGATGCACTTGTAATGGTTACATTTGGCTCCAGGGTTGGGTGGGTAGGGCGTGACTTTGCCATGATTTGGTTTGCAATCCAAGTTGCCCCCCCGCTCGAAACTCACTTCCCTCCCCTTGTGGTTCAGACCGTGAGTTTGGCACTTTGTTCAAGCCGTACAGCCCATCCAACCGATGGGTGTATTCGCTTGGGTGTGTCAAGGTATGAACTTGGCATTCTGTTCGTGTTGCAAAGCCCATCCAAACGATGGCATATGTCAAGCTATGAGCTGGGCATTTTGTTCAAGTCGTGAAGCCCATCCAAACGATGGCGCGAATTCACCTCATTGTTCACTCAAGGTGAAAAAGGATGAACTGAACTTACTCAGTTTGCTTTGTGTTGGATCTCTGTAGCCTTCTAGTGAATTAAAATCATTTTGCATTTTTTTGTTGGTTTCTGCAACAAACTGGCCTTGCAGTCAAATGCTTGGGAGATAATATGTAAGCTGCTATATCATTTTGGTCGCTCTGCTGTAGCTGTGTTGCTAAAGGTTGTGCAAACCGCATGCATTCCGTTGCTTGCCCTTTTGCACAAAGTATTGAAGACCATGAAGGCTCAGAAAACAATCCTTGTTGTTGTTGTTGTTGTGCAAATCGCCACATCCGACACCCAAATAGAAAGTGGGTGGCGATTTAGAGCACCGTTGAAGCAGGGAGCGGATGCTGACCTCTTCGCAAGCAGCCCGATGGCTGCCGCGGGACTTTGTCGAGGCAAGGTTTTGTACATGCAGCTGTTTGCCAATTTCAATCGCAACCCCTTGGAGAAACACCAGTTTTTGTTGTTGTTCCAATGTTCCTTGCAATGAATGGCTGGTCACATTTCAGCGTCAACACCAGTTTTCTTTTGTTGAATTTTGCACAAAAACTGTATCCAATCCATCAAGGCATCCCCAACCCCGTTCAGGCTTCACAGCTGGGTGGTGTGTTCACCATCGTTGCGTGCCCTAGAGTGGCCGAAACACACAAATTGCCGCAATAATTGCCATAGGCAGGCCATTGTTTTACCATTTTTTTGTGTGGTCAAGATTTTTTTTTCCTAAGAACATTTGGCGCTTGCATTCAAACCCCGAACCGAATGTGTGTTGTTTTGCTTGATCAGGTACGCTGTGATGCTCATTGTTTTCATGTGTGAGCTGATATCGTTTGCAGCTGGGAGCCTTGGGGTAAGCATGTTTCAAATGTTCTCGCGCTGTGCTCCTGCGAGGATTGTAGGAGATGCGGGTACGTTCTTGGACTAGATTGGAGTGGTTTGGAAACTGGGGTATGCAGGTAGAGATACAGGAGGAAAGATGTGCTTAGATGTTTATCCAACTTTACATTTGTTGGAATGACGGCATTTGATTTGTCGAACATGTTTGCGCCAGAGCCCGCAATATGCCACGGTGTTGGCCCTGGACAAAGCCGGAAGTGACTCCCTGCAGCGCGGTCGCCCAGATTGTCCGCAACTGCGCAATGTAAGGGAGTTGGGTCCGTGACGCTTTCATCGCACAGGATCAACTTTGATGTCGACGTCCACGACATTGAATGCAGAAACTTGCAAGTTGTCGTTTATGCAGCAGTCTGAGGGAGACACTGTAAGCTTCTCGGAGAGATTGTTTAATTCAGTTTAGTTTAATCTCTTGCAAATTGCCATGACTCAAATTGGTTCTTCATCAAGACTTAGGCACAAAATGGCAAAGAACGACTAAGTGCACTTCTGAGCTCAAGTCTTCGAAAAACGTAGAACGAGCACAAATCACAAGCAACATCAAGCAACTGACTCGAACTGGTCTTTAAAATCAGGCCTTTTAACCGAAGACAGAAAACCTGTTGCACCTGTGAAAACAGAGTCTGATTTTGTTTGCTTTCTTTGAGCAGATGCTTTTGGCAGTCGTTGAGGCTCGTCAGGTGAGGACTTCTGGCTCCGATCGATTGATGCGCAGGGCAAGCAGTTTGGTGTGGCGGTGAAGCCACAGGAGAAGTGAGATAAGTGAGCGAGAGGGACTTGGACTTTGGACACAGCTGGAACCGAAACCTTCATAGATCATGATGCTTCTTGGAACTCTTTGCAGAAGATGATTTGTATGCTTCAATCTGTGAGTTGCAGGATGCCCAAGGAGAAGTAGCGGAGGATCATGACAAGCAGATGCCTGTGCCCTGGGGCACGTATTCGGGACGGAAGGCGACAAATGACCTCAGATTGCGTGCATATCAGTCACACCATTTTTATCGGATCAAAGTGGAGCTTCGCTTGGAGGCATTTTCACGGCTAAGGCAAGATGTTCGCAAGCAGGATGGTGGCCAGGAGAGCATGTTTTCAACGAATTGTGTCGATTTGATGATGACATCTTCTCGACGACAAGACACAGACCTACGGACTTACACGAAGGAGCTCGATTCTGATTGGTCATCCTCCCACGATGGCTTTCGGCACAAGAGCTTGGAGCATGTCATCCAGGTCGGACTGATTTGGTGATTTGGCAAGCAGAATGAAAATCGATATGGGAATAGGCAAGCATGATTGTAACGAATAAGGTTTCGCAATGTTTCGTGCTGTGAAGTGCTGTGAGGGCCACGACTTCACCTGCATCAACTTCTTTGCTGGTTGGCCCCAGCTTCAGAGCTCGAGGAATCGCAACTTGATTTCGGTTTTTGTGGCGGTGCAAGGTGCACTAATAGTGTGGTGCTGAAGTGCAGCCCTTTGCTCTCAAAGGTGCAGCCACTGCCAGAAGTTTGCTCCAGAATGGGAGAAGCTTGCTGACAAGGTGCGGAATGAAGTGACGATGGTCGAGGGTTTGAAACGATGCTCGCGGTGAGTTGTCCAGGTGCATGGCAAAGATGGGGCTCCGATGAAGTTCCCTGATCGTGATGGTGTTGAGCGGCAGGTCCGACTCATCAAGCATGGAAGCCCAGCGTAGTTTCCTGTCGTGACATCTCTTGATCATATTTTTGTTTTCCAGTTTGGTTCGGACTTTTTGGGGTCTTTGACATTCGAGATGTTCATTTTGGATATTGGCACTGAGCGCTGCACTGTTCTTGGTTCTGTCTTGCTTCTTGCAAATATTTCGTTTCAGTGGCAGTCTATTTTTTCCGTTTAATTGTCTTTCCCATTTCTTTGTCTCTGCAAGTGCCACCGTCTCAGACCAGCTGCATTTGTCACAGCTTCTCTTTTTCTTGTGTGCTCAAGATATCTCGCCATTCTTGACCTGCACGAAACAGTTGCTCTTGCCGATCCTGGTTCGTTCTTTCTGTGTCCTTTCTCTTGTTTTCTGCGCCGGCTTGCTTCTTTCCCCTCAAGATTGTGGTGCGAGATCAGACATCACAGTATTACTAACAGCTCTTCTTTCCAGAACGGGGAAAACCCACGGGTAGCTTGCTCTCCCACAATGACAGTGTCTCTTGTTTTGAACAATTTATGCTGCGGCTCTGTACAAAGCCGATCAGTACTTGAAAGCTATGTGGCCCACGGATTGTCCCCGTAAGTGAGTTGTCCTGTATCTTGGATAGACTTTTTCACAAGCATTGCTGGGCAAGCATGCGCTCTAAGACCAACGAAATAGACCAGCAAGCTTTGCATAGACGCTTTGCAAACTCGGTTTTCTTTGTGAGTCGACTGGGGTTTCTTTTTTGTGCCCAGGGTTAACTGCGTGGACTTCCACGACGTTTGCGCGCCCCAGGGCATCGATGCTTACCCCACAGTGCGTCTCTACAAGGTGCGGATCTTGAAATTTCTTATGGTATTTTCTTTTCGTCCTTTCATCATTTTTCTTCTATACAGTCTAAGTATATTTATTTTACGCTCTTTATCCATTTGTATACTTAATTGTATTGTTCAGTCAAGTTCACCGTGAATAGCCATATTTCCATTCCCAATGATAAACCAGGTATTTTAGATAAGGTACAAGAGAAATGTTTTGTTTTAGCTAGATGGTTCACGTTTCCATGACAATCGATTGATAACTCACGTTTGATGTTATTTGATTCAATCAACATTTGCTTAAACATTCACACTTACACCTACACCTACACCTACTACTACTACTACTACTTCTACTACTACTACTACTACTAATCCTACTGCTACTGCTACTGCTGCTGCTGCTACTCCTCCTGCTGCTGCTGTTGTTGGTGTTGTTGTGGTTTTTGCTGTTATCAAATTGAGCCTTATAAAGAACAATACAACAATGCATTTTTAATTATTTCAATGTCTCCTTACTTTCAAACCAATCCGCGAGCCTTTCTGTTACAAATTGATGTCAACGTCGTTGTTGGCATTTGTAAAAGACACGAAGCCTATGACTTGCAGTTCATTACTGTTTTGTGGTTCACTCAGCTAGGAGCATTGTTTCAGGCAGATGGCACTTTCTCAGTTTTTGATGGCCGCCGAGGGGAGGCATCGAAGAAGTCTTCAAGAGTTCATTTGCTGCGTGGCATGTTGGTGTTTTAGGTGGAAATCATTCGATGGTTGGAGAGGACAAGACAGACGGCAGACGGCAGACCGCAGGTCCTTAGGTTTGCCCAAAAGCGACTGTGTCGCTCCAGGATGATCAAAATGAAGAGTTATGGATGGGGAGCTCACCATGAGGTGCCCCATCTTAACAGCAGAGCCAGAGAGTTCCAAGAGCTGTTGAACTTGCTGTCGGTTGTTCTTGATCGCAAGAGCCATGTGTTGATGGAGATACTGAGATATTGATGTGTTTTTGGACCTCTGTCAGTTGACATGCGGAAAACTACGCGACGTCCGAACACAAGAGGAACCTTATGAATCCACGAACCTGAATGAACAACACTTCAATCATACATTGCTCAGAGATTTGCGAGACACGACTTTTGTCTATCACTCTTGAAGAACACCCTTGTAACTCTTGTACACTCTTGCTGGACAATCTCCTGTGTTGCTCTTGCGTGGAACTCTTGTGTAACACTTGTTCCCCAAACAGTTCACTGCTAGGGGTTCTCAATTCTTTCTTAAGATGTGTCCGCCCTTTGTGTCACTGCTCGTGTCCGCCCTTTTCCGCTGGCCATGTAGAAATCTCCCAGGTCTGTCGCTGCTGGTGTCCGCCCTTTTCCGCTGGCCATGTAGCATTTCTATTCATTTGTCTCCCAGGTCTGTCACTGGTGGCGTCCGCCCTTTTCCGCTGGCCATGTAGCGTTTCTATGCATTTGTCTCCCAGGTCTGTCGCTGTTGGTGTCCTCCCTTTTCCGTTGGCCATGTAGCATGTCTATTCATTTGTCTCCCAGGTCTGTCACTGGTGGTGTCCGCCCCTGGCCATGTAGCATTTCTATTCATTTGTCTCCCAGGTCTGTCACTGCTGGTGTCCGCCCTTTTCCGCTGGCCCATGTAGCATTTCTATTCATTTGTCTCCCAGGTCTGTCGCTGCTGGTGTCCGCCCTTTTCAGTTGGCGATGCAACATTTCTAATCATTCCCCAAACAGTTTGCTGTTGCGTAGGGTTTCTCAATGCTTTCTTAAGATGTGTCCGCCCTTTCTGTCACTGCTGGTGTCCGCCCATTTCCGCTGGCCATGCAGCATTTCAATTCGTTTGTCTTTACACTGATTTCTTTACTTTTGTCTCCTAGGTTCGGTGCCTGCACTGCTGGTGTCCGCCCATTTCCGCCGGCCATGCAGCATTTCTATTCATTTGTTTCCCATGTGGTTTGTTGACTCTTGTTTTCCAGGTTCGGTGCCTGCACTGCTGGCATCGGGGGGAGGGTGACCACCTCCCCCCCCCTTGCGACTAAACAGAGGGGGGGGGTGACCACCCTTGAAAAGGGGGAGGGTGACCCCACCCCCTTGCGACCAGGGAGGGGAAGGTGACCATTGGTTGCGGCGTGTTCGGTTGGTTGGTTGCTGCTGGCTGGCTCGTTGCTTTGGTTGTTTGGTTGGAATGCTTTTTGCCGCAGTGAGTTCACCTTAAAATGTTGATTTCGTGGCAGGCGCGGGTATTGGAGATGATGTGCAGATTTCGTGGAGCCCCCCCCCCAGCAGACATTAGCTCCAAATAAAACAAATGCTTGCCGCGAAGAACATGATAATTTGGTTGGTTGGTGAAGGAGGGGGGGGGTGGTGACCTTAAGAGAAGAAGTCTCGAGGGGGGTGTGTGATGCCTCACCGGAGGGGGGTCACCCGGGTCGGTGGAAGGGGATGATTTGTTTCGGACGCAAAGTGAGGAACTCTCCCTTTTCTTCTTTCCTGCATTTCTATCTTCATTTGTCTCGCAGGTGATTTCTGTGCTTCCCCAAACAGGTTACTGTTTGGGGTTCTAAATGCTTTCTAAGAGTCTCCGCCTTGCTGCTGGACAGCGTGTCCGCCTCCCGTCCGGCTTGTCTCCCTTGGTCTCCCTTCTTGTTGGCCTTGTCTCCCTTCAGTCTTTCTTTGTCTCCGGTCTTGTTTCCCTTCTTGTGATTGCGTCTGTCTTGTCTCCCTTCTGTTTCCTTTTGTCTCCCTTCTTGTTGGTCATTGTGTCTGCCTGTCTCCCTTCTTGTCTCCCTTTGTCTCCGGTCTTGTAGGTCATTGTGTCCGTCTTGTCTCCCTTCTTCTTGTCTCCGTTGTTGTCCCCCTTCTTGTTGGTCACTGTGTCCGCCTTGTCTTCCTTCTTTTCTTTACGTGTGCCTCCTCTCGTTTGCAACCCTTCACATTCGTCTCCCAGCTGCTTTGCCCTGCAATCCTTTACATTTGTCTCCCAGCTCTGAGTGTTGTGTCCGCCTCTGCCTTGCAATCCTTTATTTGTCATCCAGCTCTGGGCTGCATGTCGCTTGCAATCCTTTACATGTGTCTCCCTGTGTCTGGAATTGTCTCCCAGCTCTGGACTGCTGTGGCTCTGGACGTCGCAAGCTCTAGTTGCAGAGTGTTCCGATGCTGAAAAACACAAACTGTTTGGGGTCTACGGCGGTGTAATTTTTCCTGAGACGAAATCATACTGCCTCACCAAAAGTTATAGAATGCGCATAGCTTCACCAGCAGTGAACATGTGGCTGACCGGAATGGGTTTATTGGTTGCCAATCTGTGTTGGGGCGGTGCAATGGTACATCTTTAGGTGCACCGTTCAGAACCACAGTACCTTCCCATCCCTTGGCGTTTGCACCTGTGCAACATTTTCAGCGCTGTTCACTTGGTGCGTTAGGCGCTGCGCTCTTCCCAGCCCGCTCTTGCGTCACGAAATCTGGAGTAGGGTTTTCTCAGGAGACTTGCCTGGGCCACGGCCTGTGCCCAGGTGCCCGGGCGGAGGCAAGAAACGTGCACCAAGCCCTGAGCTTGTGAACCACGGCGCATTGCCAAATGATCATCAACATCGTGCGTCCACGCGACCGTAGCGATGCTACATCATCATCGTCATTATCATCATCATCATCGTCACCGTTCTTTCACAGGCCCTTGTCTCAGAGAGGTACCGTTGACCCTCTTGAACATATGTCAGGTCGGCGCTTCTCACCTCGTGTGGTCACGAAGGATTGGGCGAGCTGCAGAGCCAGTAGGGCTGTGGTTTCTTTGGCCTGGTCTAGCTGCATACGCTTCAAAAATCGGTGGAAAGCAAGGGCACATGTGTTCATCAATGCTCCGCATCCCACTATAAAGAAGGCCGACAGGCGCAGAGGCGTCGTGCTTTTCAAACGGTCTATCCCAGATGTCATCAGGGAGAGAGATGGTCCAGCGAAGACAGGTGTCCCGTCAACATTGTTTGCGATGTGCTTGAAGATCTCTGGTAGGACCTTTGATTGGTGCTGCGCTGGCCGCATTCATGTAACATGCTTTGCTTGGATTGAACATCCGACCTCGAGAAGGGCCCTGCACTGCAATGCCATGGACATGTATGAGATGCCTGCCCAGCGTGTGATGACGTCGAAAGGAAAGCGCACAGTAGTCACAGTCCAGTCCTGCCTGGGCTAGCTCTTGAGCATCCTCAGCATCATCTGCGGCCATGGAGTCCTGCCATCATTGGTCGATGAGTTCAATCGATTGTTGTAGAACTCTGGTTTGATGAATGTCATCAGGTTGCATATGACATTGCTTCTCCTGCCACTTGTCAAGATGGAAACGGTGCCGCAGAGCGCAGATTGGGCACTCCAGGCCATGCGCATGCAGGAATGGAGAATTGCGCGTCAAAAAAGGAATGATCACCTGCAACTTGACGAAGTTGGAGCAGGAGTTGAATCTGGAATATGATGATCGTGGATGCAGTCACTGCATCGCATGTTCCATGTCTTGGGAGATATGCGTCTTGGGGCAAGCGGTTCCAGTGTGCCAGCGCATATTGGACGTGATGCATTTGGACAGTGGCGTCTTCTTAACAATTCTAAGTGCCCCGGCCTCCACTCAGGAACGGGACTACGAAGCAGTCTTGGACGACCAACCTCTGGGCTGCCTGCGCTACCTCGCGAGCAGCGCTTCCACATCGACGAAACAGAGTTCAACAGATTTTAGACACTGCTTGACAATTTGGGGCTGGAAACCAAACGCATCAATACTATCAATCAGTTCAAAAGCTGACTCCAAAAGTTTACACTCGTCGGCCTCAGCTTCGTGGGCTTCAGGGCCAAACGTCCTCGCCTTCCAACACTGAAGAAATGGAACTTTTGAGTCAATATGTGGAGGCACTTTATCAGGGACAAGATGAAGCTTTTCCTTCGCTCTCGTTTTGTTCCTCTCCAGTGAATCCCGAACAATTGAATACGAGTTGGCTCATCTCACTTCGCACAAGGCAATCTCACAGCACATTGCGCCAAGATTTTTGTGGAAGGCAGTTGCCCATGAACTCAACCCTCTCTTGGCAGGATGGTGCCAACAATGGTTTGGTCCTGGACACCTTCCAGCTGAATGTAAAAGTGGGTGGATTGTCTTTTTGACCAAGCTGCACAAGGCCTTCACCAACCTTGTGCATCAGGTTGCTGAGGATCCAGGCGCTCCATGCATTGCCATCGATGGTGCTATTTTCCCAGTGACACTGCAGAGTCATACGTTGTGTTCTTGTGAGGCCAGTGGTTGGCTTTGGAGAATAGTATCGGCCAAAGTAGGCCACAAAGCAGAGGAGCGTGATCACGTTGCATACCCACCATCATAGGAACTTCTTCACCGTCTTGGAGGCAGCGGCGTTCCCATCTCGTGTTTGTACCAGAACAAAATCAATACGAGAAGCAGCTTGTTTGGGTCCATGATATGTATCCCCCAAGGTTTGTTGCCAGGTAAAGTGACCATCGCGGAAAGATCCCGAAGAAGAGCTTGAAAAACTGGTTGGTCTCATTGGAAGTTGCAAAGTCATTGAAACCGACCTGATTCGACTGGTGTCGTACGCCCGTGTTGAAGCCCCCACCAATCAACCAACGATATCGTCGAGTTAGTCTACGAAGAACACTCTTACGGTCCCAAGCACTAGTTCGGTTGTGGATAGAAGTGGGGTCACTCTGGTTGCGGGGGTGCTGGTAAACGCTCAAGATGTCCATTGTATAGTTGCGCGTGTAACGCGTGGCTGTCCAAAGGAATCGTCCATCCAATGGAGAACGGAGTCCACTGCGCAAAGTTTGAGCCATTCCATTGCCAACAACCCTCCACGTAGGTGCCTCCCGCGTGAACGTTTGTAGGCGAACTCAGCGCCTAGCCAGCGCCTGAGTAGGACCAGCCCGTGTCCTCCACTTACCACCGTGCGGGCGCGAAACCCTCGAATTTCAGGCAAGCCCAAAGGACCTTCCTTTCCTGGCACATTGGCCAGCTGAGTTTGGTCAAGTGGGACTTGTTCAGGACCTGGCTGCACCGCCAGCCCATAGCCATAGATTGTGTCTGCTTGCGAGGGGTTGTCAAGTTGTCAATGTCCAAGGGCCGTTCTGTCAAAGGAATGGGATGAACTCCTAGTTGAGCAGCAGTCAAACACCACCAAGTCATCCCGCGCAGGGTGGCCCGTTTAACGAAAACGCATTTGAGCACTCGGGGCCCTTATCATCATCATCACCATCATCACCATCAACATCATCCTCATCATCATCATGGCAACACCGTGCGCGCCCCTGTGCTCATGGAGTGGGGGTGCCCGGGTGTCCGTCGAGGTGAATGTGCCCAGGTGTCCGGGCGCCCGTCTGGTGAGAGGACCCGTCTCGAAAGCTGAGCATGGTATCCTATTCAGGTCGCTTCGCGACAACAGCCGCCCACCAGTTGGAAGGATTGGTGAATCCAATTTGCCAATGCCCAGAAACTTGCGCAGTCTCAAGGGGACAGAAATAGAGTGATTACGTACAACAATCTTTGCAATGTGCATGATGGCAGCATGATGTGGATGAATAAAATATAAGAAGTATCTATGACCAGTCTACTTTTCGACCTCCTTCTAAAAAAAATTGTTTTACTCTCAAATGGCAAGCACTGTTAGATGTATTTTTTGACCCGCTTGAGATTGTACATTTTTCAGGGATCCCAAAATATACTAGTTTGCAAACATCTTGTGCAAAAAACTATGCCCTTGCAACCAGCTGACGGATATGCTGCTAGAATAGGCAGCACGATTGCAACCAACCGATGCATACGATGCATTCATGAGAAATATAGTAAAACATCCGTACAGATCGGAAACCGTACCCTTTTTTGCCTGTTCTCATGTCAAATTCATTGGTAAACGCAGTGCTTTGTCATGCGTTTTGCCTAAATAAAAAATGTCTTTTTCGCGACACCTCAAGTTGCCTGCTTTTTGTGTATCTAGCTGTTCCCAGTCAGGCTCCGTGTGCAAGTCTTTTTCATCGATGCCATTGTCGAGCAAATCAGCGGCGGCGCACCCATCCGACATGGAGCCGCTACAACTACGCAACAAACGCCAACTCAACACCAACAGTCACCAACAGAAAAGGACTTAGTTTATGTTTTTCGAAAAAGAAAACCTCAACCACACATTGCACCAAAGTGTGAACAACGAAAAACGAGTTTCTAACACCTGCTCCCAGTTTACCCAGCCACGATCTGAACCCAAACCTGTTTCGTGAACAAAAGCAACTCAAGGGTCAGAACAATCATGAGTTAAGCCGTCTACGTACTGTTCTAAAGAAAAAGGGCTGACGCACCACAAAGGAAGAAAACACAAAAACGAGGAGGACAAGGAACACCCGACAACCGAAACAACAAAACTAAAGCACACACCGTGGCTACGTCTTGAGCCTTCATGCTCATGAGACGTATGTGAAAACAAGAACGCAATTACAGCACCCCCCTCATGTTTTCTGTTTTTGGGCACCCATTTACGCTATTGCTTCAACTTGGTTACAGTATTTTGCGATATGCTCTTACGCAATGCATTGACATGCCAGAACATTTGGCTCAAGGTATGTGCGTGTGAAAACAGCGGCTCGATCGCCTTCGCCCACTCGCTCTTGTGAACCTTGTTGGACTGTGAGTTGAATCCAGGGATACTATGCATTACACGCTCCACTGCGGGGAATTTGACCCTCACCCCAGCCCCCCGCCCCCCCAACACCATGCGATGACATGACCAAGCGTCGTGGAGTCCAAAAATGTCAGAAAAGTCGGTCCGGTTTTCAGTCCCTAGGCTAAAACATGGATTGTTGAGAGGGGTCTTTTGTTTGCTTTTCAGGACGTGGTGATGCAAATGATACGATAGTTAAAAAATATAGCCAGGCATAGATGATATGTGAAACCCATGCGCGTGTTTCTATGTTTTCTCCTACCCCCACTTGTGTTCCAGATGCACCTCATGACGCAGGGTGTGCTTGTCCTTGCCAAACGAACATGTTTCCGCAGCTAAAACTATAAAACGATGAACGTGCACCAACAATATCACGTCCCTCAGCACCTTGAGCGCGGGGTTTCCTGCCACGAAATTGGATCGTTTTCGGTCGCACGAGCTCGGTCCAAGAGTTTTTGTGTTTATTGAGTGAGGTCTTTGAGCGTGGCTGCAATGCCCGGGGCCGTTTGCAGGCGCGGTAGATTTTGCAACGGTTTTGCTTTTGGCCAGAAATTTTGGAAAACATTTGTGCAACTTTTTCATTCTGCCAATTTTCCTTTGAAGTAGTTTTGTCCAACTTGCAGAATTGTTGCTAGGTGCCACGGGTGCCAGGCCATTTGGAGCTCATGGCTGGGGGTGGAGACCAGACACTTAATCCAAGGTGGGAGACTTTGGGTTTGGGTTTGATGTGGGCCCTGTGGGCTGCGCATCGCACGCTGTCGGTCTCAGAGTCTCACAGGATGACCAATGTGTCTCACACGATCAAGCACCTCTCCTTCTCCGATGCCAATGATGGCAAGTTTCATCGGAAGGCAAGGCGAAGCGCACTTGACAAGGCCTAAGCAAATCTGGACCTGCCAGGGGTGGTCAAACTTTCCCAGGGAGGCAAGTCAAGTCCATTCTGCTCAAAGATACCCAAATATAGGTTCAAATGATTCCTGCTGCACTCATTGGTGCCAGGTTACACGGAATCTGGCACCCTTGGATGGTCAACGGTTTTTGTCAGACCCTCGAGTGAGGCAGCAAGTGCCAATGAACACTAGAGTCCATGCCAACGAATCACTGGGCAAAGGACTTCTAGTTTCCACCAAGCGTACATCCACGACTTGAAGGCAGGATAAGGATAAGGATTAGACTTGTTGGCAGATTCATGCAGATTCAGCAGTCTCTTTAGGCTTGAACCTTTTCCTCATCCGAAGCTTGATATACATCATGTGTCCTCCGTTTTGTGGACAGGTTGTAAGCACTGTGTCTGGCAGCCAGACTACATACCAGTTCCAGCACCAGGTGGCTCAGCACCTTTTCGATGCTTTAGAGCTTTTGCTATCGCAAGGCACGTGTTTCGCAACTTCCGGAAGCAGAGATTCCGCAGGCAGATCGTTCGGAAGAATCTGTGCAATGAACGTTCAGTGAGACTTTCACGCGTTATGAAGCCCAGCCCTTTGAGGCGCAATTCCATTACGATATCGAGCCGTACCTCGGCGAAAGAAACGGCTTTTTGGATTCGCTGTTTGCACTTTGAGCGCTCCTTCCACAGGTTTTCGATCTACGTACGGAGAGATGATAAGCGGTGGTGCGCCATCAGTTGTTCGAGTAATGCAAGGGGCAAGACGGATGTTTGATGCGTGGTGTTCTTGTACCTTTCTTAGGCTCAACAGCGTGATATTCCATGAGAAGAGATCCAAAGTGCGTAGGTCAAAAGTTGGCAAGAGAGACAATTATTAGTAATTAACACATAGATTCCACAAATTCCCGCAACAATTGGATCATGGAGCTTCGTGGGGACTCCCAGAGTGTTGCTCAGATAGCTTGAAGAGCTCTTCCTGGCGCTACACAGGCGATGCAAACATATGTTGCTGCATTTTAGGGGCGTCTTGTAACATGGGCCACAGACTCAAAAATGACTAACTGACGGGAGGCAAACCAGGACACATTTCGAAAATGAGACAGGATGGCGGATGGCAAGAGAGAAGGAAGGGTTGAACTCAGAGAGAAGGGATGAGAAAAGTGGACCAGGATTGCGCTGTTGACCTTGTCGCGTCCATTGGTTGTGGATGCTCCAACTCTAGGGTTAGAGGAAAGGCGATCCCGGACAGGACATTAGACAGAAGAAAGAAGGGGGTGGACCGAAATGTAGAGCGGAAGGGAAGGGCTGGAGGCAGGAGAAGAGAGGTTGGAGACAACATCAGGAAGCAGACAAAAAGAAAAAAATAAGGTAGGAAGCGAGAAGAAATGAAGCCAAAATTAAAACGATCATGGAGGTGGTACAAATCTCCAGTTGTCTGCCCAGCCGTTTGCATACAGAGATCTCAAATTTAAGTTGCGGACAGGGGGATAGCATATATACTACAGTATATACGCTCTCTCTCTCTCTCTGTCTCTCTATCTATCTACGTATATATTCACCCGACAAAAGAGCCCTTTCTGAACATCCCACGTCACATACTTGTTTGGCGACAAAGCATCCAGGACAAAAAATCTAGCAAGCCGATGCAAAAGTAAGCATGATGTAAACATACACAGACTCTCCAGGTCAGGTACAAGCTAGCGAAGGTCATACTGACAGAAACTTGCCGTCTTGGAAACCTGCCGAATTGCAGAAAGGGATCGCTTGTTCAGCACCTGGAGAGCACTGTGTTGCGCATTGGGCCAAATAGACCTTTGCCGCCACAAAGGCACAACTGCGACTGACATCGGCCAATGCTTCAGTCTCCGAAGTATGATACTTAGAAGACTGAAGCAAGACAATTATTTCAGTCGATACTCAACGTATACACCAAACGTTCTTTGCCCTAGGTCACTCAGAAGCAGCCCTTCGTGACTACTCCGTTACCATTAGCCAGTCCAGCTTTTCTAGGATGCCAGGCCACACCGAAGTGAAGCTGCTTCACCAACTCATGCCGTCTAAACGGAGTAACTGCAACCAGAACTCCCAAACACTTTGTAACTTGAGGCATCTTGAGTCCTTTGGTGTTCGTGTTGATGAATGCCTGCAGGTCTCACAGACTCCTGGGCAGCGCTGGTGCCTTGACAAGACGCCTTGGATCTTCCAAAGTCTCAAGCCGACCCAAACACTTTCATTGAGACATGTTCCGTGTTGTCAAAAGGTCTTGTCACAAGATAGCGATCCAATAATCCTGTACTTGGAAGAAGTTTGTCTTCTAAATCACTCCTTTCTGCCCTGTTCTTGGGCTCCTTGCTCTTGACACATCGCGATCAGGACAGCAAGGAACGAGGGCCGCTCGTGAAGGCTTTGCGAGGTAGTTCCGTACGGAGACTCAGGAACGAAGGCGAACCTTGCGGAAAAGTATTGACTGTGTAGAAACCTTTTCCGCAAAAAGCGCGTTCAATGCAACTTCAAATTGAAGAAACGCACACTGAAAACACAGGTGAAGCTGGGCTTCTTTGAGCCAAGTTTCAAATCCACCAGCAGTTGCTTTCTCAGCACATAAGGGATCGAAATGATCCAATCGATAAATTCGGCAACTCGTGGTTTCCTTTGATCTTGTTTTACATTTGTTTTCTCTCTTGGATGTGTGGTGTGCTACAGAGAGCGAGAGCGAGGCGCTTTCAGGAAGTTTACCCCTGCTGAGCAGAGCCTGAGCCTCAATGGCAAGAGACTCCCAAACCAAATGTCAAAGACGCACGAACTTTTAACGATTGCAGTACCTTGTCATTGTGATATGAAGTTGGGTGATACAGCTCACTTCACCGTTAGCACGGCTTGCTTTGCACCCTCATCAGTGTGGTTTTGCTTTCTCCGCTAAGGGGCTGCGCAGGGCGCGATGAATGAGAAAGCTGAGAGCTTAACTTGCGGGGGGTAACAACAAAGAGCTCCATTTCATGAGGGAAATAAATCTTTGTTTGAAGAGTTTGGAGTAGAGGTGAAGGAAGATCTCAGAGCTGTGCACTACAGTTTGGGCAGCTTGGCAGAATGTGTTTAACAGACACAGCACAACCGTGCACAATTGCGATGTTCTCGCTGAAGTCAAGGTGAAGATGGGCCGAAAAGAGTCAACTATGATGCTCGGCAGTGAACATCGTGTTATCAAGATTCCAAATTCGTTATGATGCTCGGCAGTGTACAAATTTCTCGAAAGATTTGTCGATTCTAAGGACTGGTATGAGACTGAGTTGCAGCGCTGTGCCAAGCAGAGGACTTAGGTTCGAAGTGCACCTCAATACGAAATCCACTCGAGCGCCAGAGTAGGTCAAAGATGGTCAAAGTCGTCAAAAGCTTGCACCAACTTAAGCTCTTAAGGCTTTCGACTCAAAGTCAACTCGTGCATAAGGAGCCACTGGGATCCTTCTCGACGGAGAGGCCGCCTTGCAAATTCAATTAACACTCGTGCTGGGTATCTTGGAAGCACAAATTCAATTAACACTCGTGTAGTCCAACAGGAGTGATTTCTAACATGTGTACTCAACCGGTTGTTGAAAGCTCCAAGGCGAATCGAGTTGTCCCTTCGCAATGGCCGCAGTGTGACGCGTTGATGTGACTTTTGGAAGACGAGCAATTCGACAAGGGAGGATTGGACATTGATAGGTACCTGATCTTTTCGCTCTTGCGACCGTCCAAGAGAAGCTTGGACACTTGTCGGCAGATGTCATAGCAAGGGCAACTCTAGCTTGACTTTCCGATATTGTCTTCTTGCCTTTTCTTTGTTTCTTGATTGTTTGTTTCCTAGAATTCCAAGACGAATTGTTTCTTGGGCAGATCTCTGCAAAGCAGAGAGATGTAACACTGCGTTGATCTGCAGATAGGCGGAGTAAATAGGAGCGACACGGCTGCAACAAGCTTGTAAGCTATTCAGATTGTGAGGGTTTAGCGGAATGACGGAATGACGATTCCAGGTTTGGATCAATTTGATCACAGAGCAAGTTTCCCCAAACATCTAGGAACCACATGAACAGTGCAAGCTTTCCTGCATCCGGTACCTAGTAGCTTCCCGATCGCTTAGTAGCGATCGCTTTGTAGCTTACTAGCTACTTATAGTTACTCGGCGGCTGCCAGTTTCCCTCAAGTTCTAGGAACCAAATCATTAGTGCCAGCGCTTATTTAAGGGACGGCGGGGGGGAGCTTCCTTGAAGAAGCCTGAGCTATCCTGCGTCCAGTAGGTAGCGTACTAGTAGCTACTAGTTATCTCGGACTTGTCACATCTCACCAGGTACGATTTTGGCACGTCTTTGTGCGCCGTGCTCGGTGGTGCCTTCGTTCATTCCTCGGAACTAAGCCTCTGAGTCAGCTGAGTCCGAGTCCGTTCTGTTACATTTCAGCAACAACGTTAGACATGAAAGGAATTGAAGGAACATCTATTGGCTTTATGGGGGAATGGGGATAGACATGAGGCATCTGAGTCCATTCCCTCATTCACTAAAGGTGAAGTCACATGTCAGGTTGATGTAAAAGACCTGTCGTAGCGCTTGAGGTCGTGATGCGGCTCATCTCGCGTTTCTCTTTGCACATCTCTGCTTCACTGAAGCAGAGAACTTGGATTGAGGGTTTCCCTTTGCAGTTGCGAAGCAAGATTTGCAGTTGCGAAGTTGCACTTCTTGGACTTGACTTTGCATAATTTCGGAAATAGATAGGAATCGAGGTCTCTTTTTCCAGCTTTCCTTGATCTCGATCGCAAAATGATCTCGACATTTGGAGCTTTTGCACGTTTTCTGAGGCATCTTTTCCCTGGTGCGAAAGTCGGGAGGGCTGGCGCCATGAGTATCGGCCACTTTGAGTGAGCCCAGCACTCTGAGCACGAAAATGACCACGCGAAGAGTTGACAATAGTGAAAGCAGAAGATGTGAGAATGTCAAATACCTCCAGGAAACTTACCCCACATTTTCCTACAACTATATAGTCAGTATTTTGTTGCTTTGACATTCTCAGCATATGCCAAAATGTCGAACTTCCTTTGTACCTTTTCAAGACTTGTTGCTGTGCAGATGTCATTTGCTTTCCCTTGCTTGCTTTGTGGTTCAGTTGGTGTGATTTTGAAATCGTTCTGTTGACAGGATTTGCTCAATTTCCATAGAGTTTGAGCTCGTCAATGCAACATGAAATGGTGAAACTATCCAATATTTGTAGTGTTCGGATCCAGTCCCAAACGGACCTGTCATTGAAGCACTGGCCACTTACCTGAGCTCATACTTAGTTTCGACAGAGGGAGCAATTTGTCCAAATTGCAACCATGTCCATATCACTTCTGTATCATTAGGAACTTGCATGTCCATTTCTGTCTTGTCACACTGAGACAATTCTAGAAAGAATAGCTAGCAACAGAATTCTTGCAGAGTTCTCGTGTTTCGGAACTCATCACGATCAGAAGGTTCAACAGTCAATCAAGATCCAACTGAACGTCATTTGAGAGCTTTTACTTGGGTGTTTTGACACTCTTGCAAGACAGCATTGTTGGAAGGCAACATTTCTTTGGGCCAAGGGTCCTGAGCCAAATAGTGCACAAATCTAAGCTGATCAAACCAGAACATGCCGAGTCGCTATAGAGGTAGAACCAAGTCTGGTGCCAAGGTGAGAAGTGAGAACCATGCGACACAGCCCATAGAGTTTCTTTCCCTCGAAGTTCTCGAAATGCATTTGTATCCACTGCTTGTTGCATGGCTGCCTTTGGTGGAACCCACAGAGAGTTCCATGGCGAGAGTGTGGATGTTCGGTCCCACGTCCGTTTTCACTCGGCATGCTGCTTGTTTGAGGCCTTTATGAGTTTGTGGACATTCCCAATTGCAGCCAGCTAGGAGTCTGGAATCATGAGGCGAAACAGAACCTGTCAGCTGTGTGAAATTGCCAGTCGGAAGACCGAGCGGACCGAGGCGCCAGTGCTCGCCGGAGCTCTTGGTTTCTATGGCAACTTTGGCACTTTGGCCGAGACAAACGGGCAAGTCGACACGACAGGGACACCGAAAACACAAAAGAACCGACTCAATGACGTTGAACCACGTTGAGTGGGACGCAGGTGATGGAGTGCCTGGCACGTTGGCGCGCTTTCGGCTGCCACGGGCAGTAGCTCTTGATGAGATGCAACAGAGGACTTTGTTCATTTTTCATCGATCCGAGCTTGTGTGGTTAATCTAACTTATTCTCATTTGGAAGGCCTCAGATGGCTGGACTGCACTCGTTCAGTGAAGAGAGTTGTTTTGGTGTCTAAGGATTCTTGAAGCTTTAGTTTTGTCGTTTGCTTTGAAGGCTCTATATCTCAGATGGGGCTAATCATGCCATCAGGCAGCTGAATTTGAGCGACCAGAATCTGACTACAGTGGCAGGCAAGCTGGGAGTCCCAGGCTACACAGATGGTTCAGAGGTGTTGCTGCGGGACCCGAATGGACTTGCTTTAGATGAAAGTCGTCAGGAGCTTTACGTTGCAGATCAGGGCAACCATGTGGTGCGTCGGATTGACTTGACAACTGGATTCATCTCCACCATCTCTCCCGTTGGACCGGATTCTCTAAAATCTCCGAGCGGGTTGGCACTAGCAGAAACGCTTTTCGAGAGAGTCTTGTACATAGCAGATTCGGGAAACCACCAAATCCGAAAGCTGGATTTGGTGACCGGCAATCTCTCAGTTGCAGCGCCAGCCTTTTTCGAGCATGCCGCTGGCTTGGCTTTTGACAAGCTAAATGGCATTTTGTATGTGGCAGACCAAGGAGTTCATGCTGTGTTTAGCTTGGATATGACCTTGGCTTCGCCTGCAGCTGGCTTAGTTGCAGGGCAGCCTGGCTATCCTGGAGGTCCTGGGGACGGTTCTACCTTCATGAGCCATGCCTTGAAAGCACAGCTGAACCGCCCGGATGGCCTGGCCTTGGATTCTCAAGGGCAAAGGCTTTACATTGGAGATGCGACCAAGGCCATCCGCATGGTGGACCTCACGAACCAAAACATGACCTTAGCGGCAATTCGATCCAGCTTTCAACATGAGACAGGACATTTGGGACCTATTGGTTTGGCACTTGGCAACACCACTATACCTGGATTCAAGGTTGAATCCATTTATCATAGACCTCTGGAGGGTGGCCCTCCGCAATTTGGCAACTACTTCTACTTTCGATCTTCCATGGGCTATGCAGGTGGTTCGCGTCCCAGGTCTTCTTGGGAATGCGAACGAACGATCCCAATAGATGCGGGAACAGTGACTCTGCGGCTCGTGCCGTTTCAGAACTTCTCGAGTCTGCTTTTTTCCTCATGAGGCTACAAGAACGCGAGTGGCATTCTCAGGAGCCGCCACTACCGCCGTGGTGTGCTGTTGTGGGCTTGGGGGCCCAAGAGTGTGACATCAACCAACCAATCAACAAACCGATCAACCTCTTGTATTAGACAAGTTATTTCAATTTAAAAGAACCTAGGATTGCCAAGTAATTGCCAAGTAAGGACTTAGAAACTTATTTTTACAGGTATTTCGCAAGTCTTTGCAGACTTGCTCAAAAGAGACATGTTCAAAATCTGAGACAGGACGAGTTATACAAGATTGGAGTGTGGCCCGTTTGGACCTGGCTCTGGTGCGCTTGCCTAGGTCGGTTACATTCGATTCTTTGGGGAACGCTACGGCAGCTTGGATTTCAATCGCGACTCGCTCGAAGAGTTATGGAGATGAAAAAAATCATGCTGAAGACAGGAAACAAAAGACAATCACCAAATCACCGTACCACAAGTCACGACATCTCCCTACTGCGGACTCATTGGCAGAAACTGGCGGAAATGTCCACTCGGCTCTGCCAGAGATTGTAAAGTGGCAAACATGTGAAAAAGCTAAGCACACCTGCTCCTTTGGTTGAAAAAGCACAAGGCAATCCATTTGTAGAGGGCAGTAGCATATTGAGAAAGGAGAGGGAAGGAGAGCTTTCAAATGAGGGACCTCTCAACCGAGTGTCATGTACCTTTTCCTTGCAGTAGAATTTTTGGAAAGCTTTGACAAAATGCGCGGTCCTTTCGCCAGCTCAGTGTGCCTACGCTTGCAGCTGCTGTCTCTCGATCCGGTAGTTGTGTAATGTTGTGTAGTTGTTCTGTGCTGTAATTTGCTCGGCAATGTTTTGCAGTCTAAAATACTGTAACTTAACTGCATTTGCTTGCTTGCATGATGTAGTGTGCTCCAATCTGTAGTGTGACCCTGTTCAATGCTGGTGAAAGTAGGCGAAAATAGACTTTCAAACAAGCTCATGTCTACCCACCTTCAATTTGCCTGCATGCACATGTTCATACTGCGTGTGGTTTGAGAGAGATTGAGACTTTGAAATTCGCATTGTGAATACCCCTCACTGAGAAAGCGTGTAGTGACGATTTCGGATTGCTCTAAGTAGATCGAAAGCGATTACCGTCCATCCCACCTCTGGGGACTACCACCGCTAGTCTTTTGCGTAAAGCGTCCAAAGCACACTTGCCTTTCATTTCGTCTAAAAAGCTCTCAGTTGCCTCGGGACCATGCATTTTGTCCTCAGAGTGGCCAAGCCCCACATTTTGTACAAGTCCGAATTGGCTTCCTCAAGGCCAGCATGTGCTGGAGTGTCCTCAGCTGTGATATCGTTATGGTCTCTATCATCTAAGTACTGCACGATTTAGAGCGATGATTGGGGATGATCTCAAAGTTTGCACATTTGCAGAAGGCATGCAGGGGCGGTTTTCTTAACAGCCTTTGAACAGCCTTAGCTGCACATTGAGAGTCAGGGGGTACATGGATTTTATTGTTGTAAGCGGCCAAAAAAGCGAAGACAAGAATCAGCAGCCAGGTAGGGTCAGCGGTCAGCTGTGATTCGGGTTGCTGTGCCCTTGAAGTCGAGGAATTGGTCCTGAGCGCCAGTCGTCACCGTTGCCTCAGCTGCATATGAAATGAAACGTGAAAAAAAGACATTGCGAATTCTGTGGCTAATCCTGGCGTTTTTGGCTTCGTTTGGGCCCAGGGAATTGGACAACACCGGAATACGATACCCACCTCCTGCATGCTCCTCAGAGCTTTTCAATACTTTCTGACAGCTTTTCAGATCCGCTCTCTCACAAGTCTAATAAGTCACGCATGAAGTTTACATTGAAACAAGGAGTCTGTGGGCTTTTGGTTCGAGTGTGAGAGGAGAAACATGGAGACACGTGAGACCTCTGACAGCTTGAACACTTCAGACTTCACACTTCTGCTTCAGGTCTCTTCAGAGGGTCAGTTTGAGGTTAATGACACCATCCTTGTGCCCCAGCTCTTAGACCCAGAGGACAAAACTCAGAGCATGTCTTAGAGAAGAGAGGTTTAGTGCTTTGCTCACACTTTGCATGCTTGGCGTCAGGAAGAGGCAAAACAAATGCTGTACTTGGCAGAGGCAACGGTTTGCCACCTCGGTGCTTTTGCTCGCTTTGTAGTGCTTTTTCAGGGCCACCTCTACACGGTACGATCGGTAGACCTTGGTGCGCCGAGCGAGTCTGCTTGCGACTTGCCTTAAGACTCAGGGACTTTCACCGAAAAATCAGGGAGCCTAGCTGAAGATAGGATGAGTGAGTCTTTCAGCTCGGACAGCAATGAGTTCCAGTGGACGAACTCTCGCATGAACTGGTGAAACTTCCGACAGTTTGAGGCCATTGCTATTAGGTTGGAGGCAGTTGTTTACATTCAACTTTCGTTTTTGAAGTGTTTGGGGATGAGCGGAGCCGCCGCCAACCCAAGCCGCTGGTTTGCAAGATGGACACGGGATTGCCACACAAACCCACTTTGCAGATTACAGTGGACAAATGCATATCCTGTGGACCGCGGAACTGGGACGCACACCAAAGCTCAAGAACCTATTGGCCGAGAAGGACGATGAAAGCGAGAGCTGACAAGAGGGAATCCGCAAAGTGGGCGAAGTGAGTGCGGGCTTTGCGCCTTTATTCCACACACGTGTACACATGTGCACGCGCACACACACACACACAGACACACACTTATAGAAATGCATACTGATGTGAATGCGGTGCCACACGCCAGCCTAAGTGAAAAACCTAAGAAACCAGGACAGGGGTAAGTACGAAGCACATCCAAAGCAACAATGCACATCTGCCGATGATGAACCGGTGCAAAGGCTGGATGTCTTGTTCTAGTTACAAGCAGGGCCCACGATGAAATTTCTCAAGTAAAACTGCAGGTACGTCATCAGGCGTCCCTGATGATATCCTAGGATCGTATGAGGAGCTTCGTTGGATGGAGCCTCATACGTCCTCTCCATCCCCCTGATAAAAAACATTAAAAAACTAAAAGCAAAATCAGCACAATCCGACTGGATCCCTGTGACTTCAAGGGGCACACACACACTTAGGATATTGTGTACTGAACTGAAAGCGGTGCCACACGCCGGCCTAGGGTTCCAATTCCTAAGAGTACATGTACAACCCACGGGAACCTTGAGGACTTCAAGAGGAAAGAAGGCCAAAAGCTCAAAGCGAAGACGGTCCGACAGGGTGACGACGTTCGTTCATGGCTGCCGAGTGAGGTTCTGGGCTTAGCCTCGTGCCATTCCGTATGAAAATGCAGGTACGTGAGTCAGGCGTCCCTGACTCATATCACAGGAAGTCCATGGTGTCTTCGTTGGATGCCGACCATGGAAATCCCCGGCATCCCCTGCTATGGTAAGAACGAAAGTGTAAGAAAACAGGCACAGCAAATCCAAAAGGATCCCTATGATTCCAAGGGTTACACACACACGCCTCCCCGAGGGGAGGCGTATCGACAAAGTAGTAGCAAATCCAGGAACCTCTAGTAGCGTCAAAGTAGCGTCCTAGCACCTATAGTAGGAAGGCCAGGAGCCCCTAGTAGCAACCCAAGCTAAGGTCCCGACAGGAGGGAGGGGTAGGGAGAGACGAGAAAAAGGAAAGAGAAGAAAGGAAGGTGTTCCCAGCTACGTCGCATGCGTCCAAAGACACACCAAAGGAGGAGCGGAGAAGGGTTCCCAGCTATGACAAAGCATCCAGGGACACCCAAGGAGGAAGGAAGGTGGAGAGGAAAGAGAGAGAGAAAGAGAGAGGGAGAGAAAGGGAGAGGAGAGAAAAGGAAAAGGCAGGTGTTCCCAGCTACGAACAAACGTCCAGGGACACACCAAAGAAAGAAAGGGGTGATCCTGAGTCTTCCATTCAGGAAAACCCCAAAAAGCAAGGAAAGAAAGGGGAGGGAAGGGGAAGGAGGGGGGACTAAGCTCGCGACAGGTTCCAATGAACCTTGAACAAACTTTGGTCGCTGCGACCACGTACGGCTTGCCCGAGGGCTGCCACCTCTGACCGCTGCGGTCACGTAAAGGCATCAGCCAGCTTGGAATTCCAAAGATGGGACCAATTTGAGTTCTTATGGCATGAGCCAGCTACTGTCCGCTGCGAACACGTACATCTCCGGGCAGGGGAGATAACGACGTACACCCGTTCGACGGGTCCACGGGAGGCACTCTGCGGGCTCATCCCGGGTTGGCGCAAGACCAAAAACACTTAGGATATTGTGTACTGAACTGAAAGCGGTGCCACACGCCGGCCTAGGGTTCCAATTCCTAAGAGTACATGTACAACCCACGGGAACCTTGAGGACTTCAAGAGGAAAGAAGGCCAAAAGCTCAAAGCGAAGACGGTCCGACAGGGTGACGACGTTCGTTCATGGCTGCCGAGTGAGGTTCTGGGCTTAGCCTCGTGCCATTCCGTATGAAAATGCAGGTACGTGAGTCAGGCGTCCCTGACTCATATCACAGGAAGTCCATGGTGTCTTCGTTGGATGCCGACCATGGAAATCCCCGGCATCCCCCTGCTATGGTAAGAACGAAAGTGTAAGAAAACAGGCGCAGCAAATCCAAAAGGATCCCTATGATTCCAAGGGTTACACACACACACAGGCCTCCCCGAAGGGAGGCATTCCTTTTTCCTAAGCTCCGGACACTGGTGGGATGGATTGAAATAGCTACGAGAAGCGGTGAATCTGCAATGGTATGTGGGGAGGAACTCATCACTCTGGGCCTCCGGCAGGCACTTTCCAACGAACCGCAAAAAGCTTTGGTCGCTCTGACCACGTTGAGGCGTTAAGCCAGCTTGGACCGCTGCGGTCACGTAAAGGCATGAGCCAGCCTGGAATTCAATAATCCGACAAATCTTGCCAAATAACTTTGGCATAAGCCTACTACGCCCGCTCTGGGCACGTGTGTTCCACGGCATTGGAAACATAGACAAACCCCCCTTCGACGGGTCCACAGGGGCCACTCTGCGGGGTCACCCTGGGCTGGCATGAAGCCAGACACACTTATAGAAGTGCATACTGATGCGAATGTGGTGCCACACGCCAGCCTAAGTGAAAAACAATGCGCATCTGGCGATGATGAACCGGTGCAAAGGCTGGATGTCTTGTTCTAGTTACAAGTAGGGCCCACGATGAAGCTTCTCAAGTAAAACTGCAGGTACGTCATCAGGCGTCCCTGATGATATCCTAGGATCGTATGAGGAGCTTCGTTGGATGGAGCCTCATACGTCCTGTCCATCCCCCTGATAACAAACTAAAAGCAAAATCAGCACAATCCGACTGGATCCCTATGACTTCAAGGGCACACACTCTCGCGCACTGAGACGGAACTCGATGGCACATTGTGACCTGCAGAGGTCCAGACTTCCGTGCGAAGATGAGAGCAAACCTGTGAGTTGACATACGGACCGCATACCGCCATACCCGTGCGCTTGTGTTGGTACAGACTTGTTTAAGTGCAGGGCTGGGAGATCAGAGTTGTTGCCACATAGTTTTCGCTTTTGCGGACAGAATGTTGCTCTTTGTTTTGCGCAGCTATTCAGCTATATAACTGTTTCTATACCTGCTTCGCTCTTGTGCAAGGTGGAGATCCCAATGTGACAGGGCTTCCTGAATCTCTTTGGGCATTGGTGGAAAGCTCGGTGTTGACTAGCAATTTTCCACCATTTTGCTTCAAGACGGAAGCACATTTGATATTATCATGCTGCGAACGGTTCCTGGGGCTGTAAGTGGCTGAGGTTGCGGACGACCATAAGCTTCAATCATGTAGGGATTTCATCCAGTGCTATTTCTGCCAAAGATCAACGAAACAATTTTGTTGTTTGACGATCGCCTAAACAGTTCGTAGCAGGAAACGGCTAATGAAGCCTTGTCTACGCGAGTTTATACAAAAAGAAGGTAAGACTGGTCAGATAGGATGCAGATGATGCAGATCCAGACTTTCGACGTGCGTGAGGTGCCTTCCGAAGCCGGTGGGGGCTACACTCGCTAAGCGAGAACTGAGCTCCAAAAAATATGCGGAGTGCAATTTGTGAGCTAACGCGACTTCTTGGCCTTTTCAGTGAGGCAGCCAGCTGTTTGCTTGGATGTTGCAGACACTGTGATCAAGCAGCCACGGGGTATAGCACAGCGGTAAAGTGGTAGTAGAAGTCACACATTGAACTCCAAATTTGGGCTTCCTCCCCCACGTATACATGCAAATTCTGGCTGAAGCCAGTAGTAGTTAGTGAAAGCATTTGTTGAAGCCATGGAGTGTGTCCTGGCTGCAAGGATGGTGCATGGCGCTGGACATGTCTCAC